CCTATATTAACGTACTTGACAATTATTGTACATCAGAGTGGTACCCACTTATTCACCTTTTTTATCTTAACTTGACTATATAAAAAGTAATGATCAATTTATTTGATATGAGTAAAAAAATCATAAAATAATATTATTTTTATTTACATTTTTATGTATAAAAAAAATTATAAATTATTTGAATAGACGGCATTAATAATTAATTACCAAAATAAATTATTATTCTTAAATGAAAACGGTAGAAACATGTACAATAATATAAATTTCACTAAAAAATGCATTTTAAACGTAATATTATATTATTATAATTTAAAACATAATAGGTACCTATGTCGTATGTGTTATTTGTTGATTGAAGTATTGAAGTTTATTTGTTAATACAAAGCTCCTGATATATATTGATACAATAGAGATTAAAAATATTAAAAATACATTGGTACAATATTTTTCTAAGCATTTAAAGTTCGATTAATGACATTTATCAAATTTAAAATTTAAAAGTGGATGTCGCTTTGCTGTACAGTAGGTTACAAGTGGATCACTGTAACGGATGGTATGAAATTTGAATTCAATGATATAATATCATCGCATACGAAAAACGATTCGGAGCGGAGACGGTCAGTCTAGAATATTAATAAGTATTTTTGATGATATTGTTGTAAATAACGTAATTTATTTGCCTATTTACGTGAAACCTAGCTAAAAATTTTAAATTCATAGCTATAAAAGTTGAACATTTTCTACATATTTAACTACAAAAATAATTTTTAAATTTTAAATATGATACATTTTGTCAAAATTTGAACATTGAATGCTTATAAAAAAAATTGTGCATATATATTTTTAATATTTGTCAACTGCTATTTAAGCAATATAATATCAGGAATCTTGTAATAAATGTTAGAGCTTTTTGGCCGAACAAATAAAATGTTATTGATATTTAAAGAAAAAAAACTACAAAAATTGAAATTTGAAATTGTCCGTTAACAGCTCAAAACAAGTCAATATTTTTGAAAATCTTATCAAGTTTAGGAATTGATAAAATAAACATAATATGATATAAATCTCAAGTGCAGTCTACGATTATTCGTTTTTGAATTACAACAAAATAAGTAAATCGCTACATGAAAAATCGAGTGAATATCCAATGATGTAAAAATATGAACTTCAAACGCTCGTAAAAATTTAATTTGATTTGCTTGCAGACATTTTTTTTTGAACTTATGAATAATCTTGTATTAGATTTAAAAAAAATTTTTTTATGAATTTCTAACTCAAAATAGTTAAAACATTTTCATAATTTTTAAGCGTTTTGTCAAAATTCGAATTTTAAATGCTTATAAAAAATAATTGTGACTAGATATATATTTTTAATATATTTCAATTGTCATTGTAACAATAACTTAAAAGCTTTGTATTAAATTTCCAAACTTTTTGATCCCACGAATAACATTTAATCGTCATTTATGGAAAAAAATTGGTTATTGAATATGTACTTACACAGCTCAAACAAGTTTTAATATTTTGAAATTTTTTTAAGAATGGATAATGCTATCTTTTGTTTTAGAGTTTAGCAAAAAACCAAAATCGATTTTGTCGAAATCGATATTGAGTAAAAATTATCGGTTTTCCTTTATTTTTATTCTGATTTCTTGGCGCTGTTGAAGACTACTGGAAGTATTTTGCACCAACTAGATTCACTTTCCATGATACCGAAGTTGAAAATCGAAGAATTTTTTAGACTACTTATCTAGTACACAGACACAAAAAATTTCAAGAATTTCAAAAAATAATTTTTCAAAAATGTTTCAATAATATGTCAAATGAACTCGATCATAGATCATTAAGAGCTGAGTACAAAAATAAATTTATTACATCTGAATATTAGAAACAAAAGCAAGATAGGTATTAAATTATTTTCCAAAAGTTCCTGCTGTACAGTAGGTACCTCCAAGAATCCAGTAGAAATAAATAATGCTATTTATTATAATATATTATATTTCGTAAGTACCTATATTATTATTATTATGTTATTTTATTATTATGCTTAAAATCAAAATGAAAATATCCGAATTCACTATCGATGTTTGTTTTTGATTTTGTTTTAGGTTTTTAGACAAATCGTAGGTAGGTACCCATTTTAATAGAATTGAAATAATTTTCTTAAACTTTGGTAGGTATAATTAAGTACCTAATACTAAAGTTGAAAATCAGATTATTATTTCAACTATATAGGCACAAAAATAAAAAATAGAACATACATCTTTGTAAAATCATAAATTCGATCATCGTTCCGCTCCGAATCTAATATTTTACTCGGTTAAAAATCTTAAAAATGTAATACAAAGTTATTCATAAGTTGTTCATAAATCATAATAAACAAAGTCAAAATATTTTTATATTATGTGAGTTTAAAAATGGATATTCAATATTAAAAACTATTTCTCATTAAACGGTTCTCTAAATTTGGTAAATATAACCAAGAAACAGCGTAAAACGTAAGTATAATTCAGTAAAACATCTGAATAGCGGACACTCACTAACTCTATTAAGAGGTGTCCGGTATTGGGAAAAATTAGTAAAATAATATGTAAGTATTTATGTCTGAATATTTAAATTTTATTGACTTTTTTTAAAAATATCTTACTTTAGGTTTATCATTACATAATTGATTACAATTATTTAGACGTAACAAAATATATTATACAAAATTACTTATTGAAAAAAAAATTATATATCTACAATATATATTTAATCAGTTTAGGTTAACAATGAATAGTTCAATTTATTTATTACAACATCAAGATGACATTTCGGATTGCAATAAGTATTTTTTTAAACATTTACATTGGTTTTTTTTGATATCTTGTTGAACATGAACATTTAATAAAACCTCGTCTAGATCCAGTTTCTTTTTTACTAATGGATTTATATTAGACTAAGAAATTTTATAAAATGGCAAAACCGATAAGATGCATTTAATACATTACCTATACATTGTTTGGCAGTGCTTAGGTAATTTTAACAATTTTATAGATTTCGGCTGTATGTGGAGTTTGAAATAGTCAATTATCAAATTCTTGGGTCATCAAGGGTCCTGTAAATGTGTGCGTAGTAAGTGATCGTAAGGGTGTGTGACTGTGTGTAAAAGAAATATCGTGGCGTTCCCGCACACGCATGCTGGTTAGGTTACCTATACCAGTCACCGCCACGGCGTTGCGTGCGTAAATGGTAAACAATTTATGCTCATTTGTATGTACCTACTTTGTTCCGTCCTACCGATCGACCTCATAATGCAATAATTTTTAAGAAAACTGTTGTGAATTCGTTATAATGTCTACTTGAGATCGATCAGTCCACGTTTTAAGATTTCTGATTTAAATACTGAATAATCAACGTTTGAAAATTGCGAAATTTCAAAATATTCAAACTAAATTTATAGTTTGTGGCTGGGTGAAATTTTGAAAAGTGGACTGACCGATCTTAAATAGACATAATAGCAAATTCAAATTAGTTTTGAAAATTGTTATCGGATTACAATGCAATAATAAATATTGGTATGTTTCGGCTAAAATAACTGCCAGTCACTGATCCTCTTAACATTTTTTAAGTTTTTTACTTTTTTTGAATGACAAAATAGTTTTAATTTCATATTCCAATTTTTTATTAGTATATAAATACATAATAATCAAATTTAGGACGTGTAGTTGTAGTTTGTGAGTTATATCTTAAAACTAATCAAAGTGTTGATGAGCGGAGTGGATAGTAGTACACGGTTACTACACAACAAAACTTAAAATACTTATAACTCGTAAACTATACTCATTCTGAATTCGACTTATAAGTATTGAAATACAAGGAAAAATATTGTGCTTTCGAAAATGAAATTAAAACTGCATGTTGTAATATTTAAAAAAGTAAAAAATTTAAAATAATATAATGATAAAAAATATAATTGTTTTAATAAACATTGTTATGTACCAACTTGAAACAGTATAAAAAATATATTTTAAAAAATTGGTAGTTTTTTAATAATAAGACCTATTAGTGTCCAACGTTAAATGCACCAACCGACATATAAAATGTTAGCCACAATGTGTATAATATTGGTATTTTATAAAATGCCTAGAAATTCTATATACTACCTGGTGATTTTTAAAGAAGTAAGTTTTAAACATGTATTACTTTATAATTCGTCATCGGCTTTATAGGAACATTTAAATGTCTTTACTCAATATTTCAATAGGTAAGTTAAAGAAGTTCAAAAAGTTTTCCTAGATAGCCTTATGTCGTTCTAAAATAACATGCAGTAACTATTATAAGTTGCATAATATTTGTATTTTCGAATTAAGTTAATTTTGATTATAATATAATTATATAAACCAAATAGATTTAAAATAAATTTTATTTTGTAAAAATTATTTTAGATTCTGAGCGATGAATGATGTGTTTTTTCTCATTTTTTCATTTTTTTTTTGTGTCATCACTTTTTTGGCGGAAAAAACTTGAAAATTTAATACAAGGTTCTACATAAGTTGTTGTTAATGGAAATTAAAAAAATAGATTGCCATAAATCCACAATATTTTTACGGGGGTTTTTTTTTTAAGTTAGTTTATTCTATTATTTTCTAAACATATTAAAATTTGAAGTTATTTATAAACATTTCAATTTAGTAGTTTTTAGTTTTTACTTCCAGTTAATTACAATTAAATTTTGTTTAATGAGTCAATAAGCTTGAAAATGTAATAAAAGCAATTAAAAAACAAAAAAGATACATATGCAACAAATTTTCATAAGCATTTAGAGATCAAATGTTGACAAAATTCATTTGATTTATCATTAATTCTTTTAATTATCTAGTTATTTTATTATAATATGAAAACAACCAGTTATTGAGTGCTAACTTATATATTTTGTGTTAATTAACAATATAAATTTATAATTATAAAATATAATCATTATGGTCTTTTTAAAGAAAATCTTTTTTGCCTGGTATAGGTTAGTACTGGTATATTCTGTGGCTGCCTTTGGGTACTGCTGATTCACTATTCTTGAGATCAGCTATTAAAATTGAAACACAAAATATTAAAAACAGTTATCATAACAATTAAACAAATAAAATAATTACTTTTGTAGCATAATGATGTTAGTTCTGCATAACGGATAAACTCTTCAACCCTTTCACATCCACCTCTCAATGCATACTCTGCAGAAAAGGTGATGGCAGGGCACTACCGTAGTGGTGGAAATTTCATTATAGCAAATTATGCATACTTCAAGACCTAAAAAAAGAATGTTTTAAGTTCATAAATATTTATAAAAATGCCATGTGCAATGAAAAATTAATTTAATTTTTCATACTTTTATTTTCTTGATGTGGCTCTACCTCCTCGTTTTCAAGTTCAGCATAAAAAGCTTCAAATATAATAAATCTTCCGTTTCTACCATGTCCTTCTACTCTTGGACTCCGGTATCTATGTCTCCAATTATCTACACATGCATTTTAATGATTATTATTTGTTTATTGTTATACATTGATTGAATAAATTCAGAATATTTCTATGTTAAGTGAAGTTTTATAAGTAATGTAACAATATCAAACTATTAGAAGCAAGGTTTTCATACACATAGGCGCAGTGTTGGGTAGTAACGTAACAAAAGTAACGCGTTACTTAATATCATTAGAATAATTTCCGAGTAACGAAAATGTAATGGAAATTACTTTTGATAAGTAATTTTCATAGAATAACTCGTTACAGTTTCAAATTATTTAGACCTATTGAGAATTGAAAAATAAAATCTAAGTCTATGAGGGGAGAATTATGTTTACCTATCTAATATGTATGACGTATGTATATAAAATTTAACTCGCCACAATTCAGTTTTTAATGGTTTTGACATTTGACATGTCGAATTACACCTTAAACCACGAGAACAGTTAATTCAATTTACTATGCAATTTGATTCCTCTTAATAGATAGGTTAGCAGAAAGATTCCTATGAATATCTAGTGTGGACTATTAAGTTTTATACGCTCCTAAACTATACAGGTTTTATAAAGAATTTAGTGTTGTACAAAAACTGTTCAGTTTGAAAATTCTTATTGGTTATTACTATATTTAGAATTTACATTAGAATATAACATTATTTTTCTGAAAATTAAAATATTTACATTGCATTGTTATAAATTATTATAGCCATATTTTGGCATTTATAAACAATTTTTTTTTTTAAATTTTATAGGGTCTTCTTGTATTCTGTATGTATTATGATTTAATTTTCACATACCTAAGGTTTATGTTGTGAGTATGTGACATAAATACATCACATACTTAACTATATCTATAATAATTAATTACCATTGATAATTTGGTACAATTAATTAGTACTATTTTTTATTAGTTATAACTCATATATAATTCCTATTGTTATATAAATATGTATAAAGTGTACATATTTTTTTGCACATCTTTTTCAAATTATACCTTTTTAGTATAGATAATACATTTCTATAAAAAGTTACATTATTGACTGCAGAATGATAATTGCCAAGAAATTAAAATTATTTTTTTTTGTAACGAGCAAATAATGAGTTACTTTTCTATTTGTAAAGTAAAGTAATTTCATTACAATTTCATTTGAGTAACGAGTAAAGTAACTTAATTACATTTATCTCTAAGTAACGAGTAAAGTAACTTAATTCCTTTTTAAAAGTAACTTACCCAACACTGAATAGGCGCAACTAGACCTCTAACTTTGGACACACAGTCTACACTCCTACAATCCTCTTTAAACAACTCTGATTGCCATACACACAAAATTATTAAATATCTTTTATATAATATGTATTAACAATTCATGTATAAATATTACTTTAATAAAATATAAAGTATTCAGTAGATATTATAAAAAAATTATTGTGTTTTTGGCGAGTGCTAAAAACCCTCTTTATTGCTCCTATTCATACACTATACAGACATAATTGAATCAATATTTTTAATTAAAGTACTATTTTAATTTTTAAATTATATTAATTATGATATTTTTTAGTTATATTTACTACCTTGTAGGTAGTAAGCATGACCACATACTATCTGCCTTTCGTTGTCAGGTAGTACTACATGAAGCTTCTGACCTGATACTGATGCTAATGCAACTGCAACAAATACTACTAAATCATTAGCTACTGAAACTGTTGCAGCAACTGGTACTAAATCTGCAGCCACTGGTACTGGTGCTGCTTTTTCGACAACTATTGGCTGTTCATAATCCACATGCAGTGCCCAATTTTGTTGCTGTTGTTCATATGTTGCTGTAGTATGCGACATTATTTGAAGAAACTGCCACGTTGATATCAGCCCAAGAGAATATTGTTAGCAAGCATGTTTGATAGAATTTAAATTCCTATAATTTATTCCATAGTGTCTTGTTGGCCGTAAATTATTATTTAGCTGAGCCATAATAGTGTGGAAACTCATACTCATGTGAGATAGGTGATCTGTAATATTATAATCCAATATGGTTGGTAGCAGTTGGCGTTAAGTGATTAAGTTAACATTAAATTTGTTCCGTAAAGCATTATGAAAACTTTCGAGACTATTGTTAGTTAGTCTTGGTAATCCATTGACTGAAGTTATGTTTGATGCAACTTGTCTGAGCCAATAGCTAAAAATAAGTATTAAATTGATTAGTAACAATAATAATAAATAGATAAATTACTAATGAGTCTTAAATACAGATAATAAAAAAATAGAAGTAATTTATTATTTTTTTAGTTTACTATAACAATAATAGAAACTTCAAAATAAAATATTTTTAAGTGAAGAATTTAGTTTAGGATTTTTACAAGTTAGAACATAATATAAATATACATATTATTCTTACTTTTCATTGTAATCAAATAAACTTGCCATCAGTATTCCATGATTTACAGCAAACACTCTTACCATGTAGAATACTCGCTGGATATCAACAGATAGTAATAATGGTAATATTTTGTGTTTGGTGGCCATCATGTTCTTTAATAACAATAAATGTGCCATTCTTCAACTTTTTTAATGACCCTGTACAAAAATATTCACCATGTCTTGCACATCTGTAATATCTATCACAATAAAAATAAACAATAAGTACTAATTACTAATTAGTTATCTAAGTAATAATGGGGATTTACCTATACATAAAAATATTAACTGGAGTACAAAATGCTGTACTAGGTAGATGGTACTAAGCTAGGTAACTACACATAGATTTAAACGCTGAACACAATATTATTAAACTATGAAAGTATGAAACATTACTTAGCTAATTTCTTATTCCCGAATAAAAGCCCGTTTCGATATTGGAATTGGAAATAGGTATAGGTAGTACATTTAAATAATAACTAGATATTAGTTTAAGCAACTTATTTCTAGAGTTAATCATGTTGAATATTCACAGAATATTATTCTTAAGACTTAAATAAAGATAGGTAGATATTCTAATATTAGGCAGTGGTATTTAGATTTTGAGTATTGACATAGTAACTAGTAAGACACAAAGTAATAACATTAAACAATATATATTATTACTTATACTAATATACTTATATATTATTTATGTGTTTATGTAGTTGGAGGTAAGCATAATATAAGATTGTTAATTTATTATTCATAATTATTCTCTTAGACTCAACAGTCTACTTGTCAACTTATTGAACATAAATAAACGATCTTACATATAACGATTCATTATTTGAATAATTAGCAATGGAAATAAATCATTACACAATATTGTTTAAGTTCGATGTCATTAAAATTGTAATATTTATCTCGTATAAATATATATTGCTGAAGTTATATTGTGAAATTCAAAACAAATTACTACCTACCATACCAATGTAATGCATATTTTATACACCTATACCTATTAATGACTGAATTGTTGTATCCAAACAAATTTATTTTGTTATTTAAATTGTTTAAGCTAAGATAAAATTAGAACAATTTTTATGGATTCATAATTCGAAAAAAATTCCCAATTTTCGAGTATATAATGAATTTTGTCAAAATGTTAACTTCAGACGCTCATACAAAATTATTTTGAATTTAAGCTCAACTTTTTTTGTAATTTCCACTAACAACAATTTACGAGGAACGTTGTATTACATTTTCAACATTTTCGACAGTGTGTAAAAATTTTATTCACAATAATAAAAAAAAAAAACTAATAAAGTTCGAAATTTTCTTATGCATATAGCTGATAGCTCAAAAAGAGTCACAATATTTCGAAAATGTTATGGTGAATAGATATTGTTTTTACATTGTATTGTATAAATACATAAATATTCATTGAAAATGTCTTGTATCTACGGTAATACAAGTGGAACGGTAGTTATAACAAAAACCAAAATCGATTTTGTCGAAAACTGATTATAAGTAAAAATTACCCTTAATTTTTTTTTGTTTTTCTAAGCTCTTTTTAAAACTACTAGGAATTTTAAATTTTGACCTCTTCAATACACCAACTAGATTCACTTGCCCATAGAAATAAAAATACTGAAGTTTGAAATAGAAGCATTATTACATATTGATTACCTCTCTACACGGAGAATTGTGTAAATGTGTAATCTACATATCGTGTACAGACACAACAATTTTTTTTTAAATAAAAAATTAAACATTGTAAAATCAATACATTTGTCGATCCGTTCAGAATCTAAAATAAAAATATTATAAAATATAAAATCACAATAAATTGATTCAAATTTGTCTTAATGTTTTTAAAATTATTAAAATTATTTTTTAAGTAAATAAATTATTGTTTTATTATAATATACCTACTAACTATAGTTCTTCTATTATTTCAAAATGTTGTGAACAAATTAAAATAATCTAAATATTTTTAATATGTAATCATGGTGTCGAGTAAAAAAAATTGCACAATGTAAGAATCACTAAAAAATTTTGTTTTCTTTTTTGAAAATGATTTTCAAGTTCTGACGAATAATACTTTTGTAATTACACTTTGTGAAAAATGTATGAATCATTCTGTAACATTTTTTACTAACAAATAAATAAAAATTGTGTAAAAAAAAATAAAAAATAAACGACAAGGAAAACGGTCACCCATCCAATTTCGTAGCATAAAACTACTGGAAAAAATTGTAAGTTAAATAACATATTTATTTCATATACCATCACCTTCATATACAACCTCTGGCGGTCGTGGGATTCTATCAAGTTTCTTTCGACTCGGCCAGTGGTCTTATGCTACGTAATTGGATGGGTGACCGTTTTTCTTGTCGTATATTTGTATTAATTTACACATTTTTTATTTATTTGTTAGTAAAAAATGTTACAGAATGGTTCATACATTTTTCACAAGGTGTAATTCCAAATATATTATTTGTAAGGACTTGAAAATCATATAAAAAAAAAAAGAAAACAACATTTTTTACCGATTGTCACACTACGCAATTTTATTACTGGACACCATAAAATATTAAAAAAAATGTATATTCATTTTAATTTATTTTACAACATTTCCTACGTTGGTATTTACTTTTTAAAAAAATGAGGACTAGTAAGTAATATTTTTTGAAAATTTGAAATAATAGAACTATATAATAGTAGGTAGGTATATTATAATATGAGCAATACCTAATTTGTTTACCTATAAATTAATTTAAATAATTTTGAAATAATTAAGACAATTTTGAAGCTATTTATTGGGGGATTTTATATTTTATAGTATTTTCATTTTAGATTTATAGCGGATCGATGAATGTATTGAGTTTACAATGTTGTGTTTTATTTAAAAAAATTGTTTTGTCTCTGTACACGATAAGTTGTGTAAACTACTAATAATATCAAATATGTAATGATGCTTCTATTTTAAACTTCAGTATTCTTATTTCTATGGGAAAGGTAAACTAGTTGGTGTATTGGGGAGGTCAAAGTTTAAAATTCCTATAAGTTTTAAAAAGAGCTCTGAAAAACGAAAAAAAAATTACGGAAAAACGGTAATTTTTACTCAAAATCACTTTTCGACTAAATCGATTTTGGTTTTTCTTTTAGGTAACTCTACCGTTCCACTTCTATTACCGTAGATACAAGACATTTTCACTGAATATTTATATAAGCAATTTCTAATGATCATAACATTTTCGAATATTTATTCTATATGCATAAGAAAATTACAAGTTTTATTAGCTTTTTTAAAATTATTGTCAATAAAATATTTTACACATGTTGATAATGTAATACAAAATACGTTCCTTGTAAGTTGTTGATAGTGGTAATTACAAAAGTTGAGCGGATATATCCACAATAATTTTGAATGAGCGTCTAAAGTTATCATTTTGATAAATTCCCTTATATTCACAAAAATTTTCTATTTTTTCAAAAATTATAAATCTATAAAAAATTTTCTTTTATCTTAGCTTAAACAATTTGATATAAGATTCCACTTAATACATTGTCTGATCGACTCCGGATTAACATCATTCTTTTGTTATCCATTTGTATCTATTTGTAACTGTACTCGATAGGTAGATTACACAACTTATATCGTGTACAGAGATAATAAATATGTAATAATGCTTCTATTTTAAACTTCAGTATTTTTATTTCTATGGGAAAGTAAATCTAGTTTGTGTATTGCTCAGTTCAAAATTTCAAATTCCTAGTAGTTTTAAACAAACAAAATTTAGGGAAAACGGTAATTTTTACTCAAAATCAGTTTACAACAAAATCTATTTTGGTTTTTGGTGTAACTCTATACCGACCTACTTCTATGACCGCAAATACATGACATTTTCATTGAATATTTATGTATTTATACAATACAATAAGTAATAATTATAATGTATATATTATACGATTTCTATTCACCATAAGATTTGCAAAATATTGTGACTCTTTTTGAGCTGTCAACCTATATGGCTATATGCATAAGAGCATTTTGAGTTTTATTGTTTTTTTAAAATTATTTAACGTTAATTATACAACGTTCTTCGTAAGTTTTTGTTAGTGAAAATTATAAAAAAAGTTGAGCGGAAATCCACAATAATTTAGTATGAACATCTGAAATTAAAATTTTGACAAAATTAATTATAATATAATTATTATTTGCGAACATTTTCAAATTATTTTGAATTATAAATCCAGAAAAATGTTCCATTTATATCTTAGCAGTTAGCTTGAAATAATTTAATATATTCCCCTTAAATTTTCCTACAATTTAGCATGAAAAAGACTTTACGGAAAAGTAAATTTTAAGGTGCGTGACATTGGTCTTTAAATACGATATTTTTATTGCGTTAATATTCAAAAACCAGGAACTGTAGATATTTGAAATTTATACCAGATATATCTTATTATTTCCTGCAATAGTTTATAAAATTTTTAAATATTATGACTCGTTTCGAGCTGTTTAAGGACATTATCAATTTTAAATTTTTTTAATTTTTTAAAGAACTAAGCATTTAACAATATTAAGCAATGTTTCAGTTAAGTAGTTAATTCTGTGAGCAAAAAATCTAAAAAATTTATACAGTTATTTTTAAATTTGCACAAAATTTCATATTAAATAGGTCTATAAGAATAACGATTTTACGGTTATTTTGTTGTAATTTAAAAATAATATTCGTGGATACTTGAAATTTCTCAAGTTTACTATTATTTATTATTTACAACTTACCGGCTACAGTATTAATATTTAATAATAACAATTGGTATAAATATAATAAAAAATATCCAAGGCTATCAAACCGTCTCCGCTCAGAAACCTTGATTACCAAAAATTAGACAGTTTTCACCCAAAATCGTTTTTTCATTGTATACAATAGTTATATGGTCTTTCCATAGGTTTTGTCTAAAAAAATTCTGAGTCACCACCCTCGAAGATCTCCGCCAACAGATTAGAAGAACCATAGACTACAGAGGGCTACCAATATAATTTAATAAGCAACTAATACAGACGAAAGTACATTTTGAAAAAAGTTGAACGAAAAGTTTGGACTCATGTTTTATTG